AGGTTTCATCGGTGCCACCTTCAACAGTTTAGCTCATTAAAAACATATTTTATTTAGATATTTAAAAAAATGCATTTCTGTGCAGTCTGTCCGGTTTTAATGAAGCTGCTGAACTGCTACAGAAACGTGTGTCTCCATCGTTTGGTTGGACCAGACGCTGTACAGAAACGTTTTTTTAAAGGTTCTGTAAGTCCCGCTCTGAGTGTCAACAGAAGAAAAAACAGAAGTGATGCTTGTGCAGAATCTGGTCTGGTTGTTTTAAACTGTTTCACACAGTGAACACGACGCACCTGAAAGTTAGAAATACGGCCTTTACTCCAGCTGCTGATCCTGTACCGCAAAAAATATGAATCTGTGAGAAAGGAGACAACATGTTTTTGATTGATTTAATTTATTTAATCTGAAATGTTCAGTAGTTTTGGCGACTGAAGCCAGACATGACAGCAGAGGGATCACTTAACAGACAGTTCATTTTAAAAGCACACAAATTAACTGGACTCAGGACATGAAGCTGAGGCGAGAGCTCGAGCAGTGTGCAGAGAAAGCTGGAGCAGAGGCTGAGCGCTCTGCCAAGTGGGCCAAGAGGAGACGTGAAGGAGAGCTGAGCTACAGAGAGGAGGACGGAGGAGGCGAGGCAGGAGGGCCGAGTCCTCCATGGAGGGAGACGGGAGTTAAATAAGACGAGCTGAGAGGAATAAACAATGGCTGCCACTGACTGCACAGAGCCAGCGTTCAGGCAGAGCAGCGTGTGAAGCTCAGGTCCAGGACACCTGTCTGCACTGCTGCAGGAAACACACCTAGAAACAGAGGATGAGGCCGACGGTGAGGACGGAGACGGATCAGATGAATGTGGTGTTGTTTAATTATAATTAATCAGAATCTATTTAAAAATACACATAAGTCCAGTTTATCATGGAGGTTAGTGCATCTGGTGAAGGTTTTAGATAATAAAGGGTTTTTTTCACAAAACTAAACAAAATCCACATTTTATTTTTGTAATTTGAAGGTTTAGTTTTTAAAAAAAGATCTAAAAATATATATATATTATAGGAGGCTTAATAAACTAGTTCCCAGCATATATAAGATTACTAGTTTAGCTACAGGCCTCTTCCTGCTCACATATGACTCCATGTCATCTGTAGTATTACAGCTGATTTAAACCTTTTCTAACTATTTACTCAGACATCAGTCAGAATCTCTTTCTGTCTGGTTTGCAGTCACTTCAGCTCATTTCTAAATCCTCCCATTTATAAACAGCCTGATCCACATCTATGGGCTGGACAGGTCCATGATGATGAACGGACAGATTCCCATCACTCATTAAACTGATGGTGACTGAATAAGTCCTCATTTAATTTCAGTGGATGTTTTTCTACGTTAAGTACCACATATGTGATGGATTCACATAATGAAGTATAAAACAAATGACTTCAGCTCCACCTGATGCTTCATAACAGAACTAAAGAGATGTTCTCCTGGAGCAGCTCCTCATGTGTCACTGGATCCACCACGTTCTCTCCTCAGTGGCTTTTATTCATGTCAGACGTGTGATGAGATCTGAGCTGGACCTCAGACGTACAAGACGAAGATGGTTTACCACCAAACACACACAAACAGCTGATTAACTCCACAGACTGTAATCATAGAGGCGTCTGCAGAGCGCTTGTTCAGCTCCACCTTCAGCAAACAATTTTTGACTCAACTTTCAGGCAAAGCCTGCAAACATTCCCTCGCTTGCTCCTCTGTCTGTCTCAGTTTGTGTCCTGTTTGATAGTAAACTGACTATTTTTAGGTCTTTGTTCGACTTTTTCCATTTGTTTTATGAAGAACATGTGATTTGCTGACACATGGTGATGATGTAGCTGCTGGTCCAGTAGAGCAGGTCCACACTGACCATGCTGCTCCTCTGATCTGATTTGCATCTTCAGATCTGACCACACGCAGAATGGAGGTGAAGCTGATTAAAGGCGTTCCTCGAGTGAACGCGAAGGCCCGATCAGATGCCATCATCCAGGTCCTGATGGCCCTGCCAGCAGAAGATGAGGAATAAAACACCAACTGCCCAGAACAGTTCTGACTCGTTGACCCGGTTTGAGCCCTGACCTCCTGATCTCCCTCCTGTAGGCGCTCCACCTCCCAGACAGCCATGTGGGCGTCGTTTAATCTTGTGCTTGTCCCGCTCTGTTCCTGCAGACTTCCTGCCCACTCGCTCTGCCTCTTTTCTCCTTTCAGCCCCTCGCTGATGATTAACCTCCCTCCTTGTCGCTCGCCCACGCCGCTCGTTCCTGATTTCGTTGGTGGCGGCGGGACGGCGGTGCGTCGGCTGTCAGGCCCTTCACAGGGGCTGTGGAGGGGAGAAATTGATGATGGGTTCATTGGAGGCGGTTATAATGGAGGCTAATGAGCGACGAGGAGGTGACCAGACTGTGAAACGCTCACTTGATGAGCAAACGCTTGATACAGACGTGAAGAGGTTTTAGTCTTCTGTCCCATTTTTACCCTGAAAGGTGTCTGAGCAGACGAGCAGCGTGTCCATTTCAAGACTTAAAGATCAGATAAAACTCCCTCTCAGGCAGAAACGTTAAAAGTTCAGCCATGTCCACAGGCCTTTTGTTTCACACTCTCACAGAACTGCATTGTGCTGTCGGTCCGGCTTCCTGTCCTGCTGTACCCGACCAGAAGGCCTCCTGTCGGCCTTAACCTCGTTTCTGTAACAGATCAGCTCATTCATTCAATTAGCTCTCGCTCGTGCACCCATCAGAAATCCATGGCTACCCAATCCAATTGCTGAAAAGTAAACCGACTCCCAAAAGTCCCCTGCCATCGGGCCGCGGGATCAATAGGAACCGTTTGGGTCCATAGAAAGATTTTCCTTTTCCCTCAGAGAACGTGCAAACAGGAGATAAAGTCAGATCGATGTGAAGTCGAGAAAACCAGAGATGAGCGCGCTGATGGCGTTCTGTGTACGTTACTGGGCCGGAGCGGACGGTCTGGACGCTACGGTGGAGGTCGGTCCATCATCCGCACGCTGACAGGTTTCAGCGCCGGAGCCGAGCAGCACCAGCCTCGGACTCGCTGCAGCAGCAACGCGAGGCTCAGAGCTGATTCAGAACTTCTCTCAGACAGCCAGCGCCAGAAAAACCCGAGTTAATCAAATCTCAGTTCACGCTCCTGTTCAGCACATGCCAGGGCCGGAGCTGGACATGAAACCCAGTGGACAGACGCTCTGCGAGCTTCAGTCGGCTTTAGAGGATCATTCTGGTTTAATAGAACCCAGATATGACTACAGAGAAGCACGACGGGATCAGCTGGGCTCATCTGGAGGAGAAAAATGGCCGTGAACAGTCCAATTACAACCAGAACTGGTCATGGTACACGGACACGTCTCAGCTTGTTGCTGTGGTGGTGCACACTCTGATGTCCTCCCCAGTGAGGAGCCATGATGATCATCTCACCTCTAACTTAACTGTTTGTGTGTTTTCTCTCCATCCGTCCACGTGTGCTGCAGGGTTCCCGTGTGATCCAAAGGTTTCAGCTAGTTTGACTCTTGTTGTTCCAGGATTGATCGTCCAGGACCAGAACTCAGTTTGTGATTCCAGTTAGGATCCTGTTTAAAAAGCTTTTCCCTGTGAAGCTGAATAGAGTTTATTCCAGGCTGTAGTTGGTGGTTCTGGTGGTTCTGGTGGTGTACTGTGCCATCCAGAGACTTTATAGTGAAGTTAAAATGACTTTGATGTAACAACGATGAATACTAATTAGGATACTAGAGATGGAGTGTTGTGATGTAGTCGAGGCCTGACAGCAGTCATTCCTGCTTTGATTAATTACTCCGGTATTGTGCGCTGGGTTCTGTTGTCGGCGGTGCTGGTGACCCAAACGGACTACTGCAGGAGTCTGAGGAGTATCAGCTGAACAACTTCAGCAGCAGGACGTTGTAGTCACATGAGAACAGGCCCAGAGTACAGTACCGAGGCTTGTTTTTTATTCTGTGTTGTTTCTGGGAGAGTTTCTCTTTTTCTTTCTTTCTTTTCTTTTTTTTTTTTTTTTGGAGAGGAGGAGGTCTGCGGCCGCTCACAGCTCCTCTTTTATTCTCTGCCTCTCTCTTTGCTCTGACAGATCCGTGCTGATATCAGATTGATGGGCCGGTTTGATTGAAGTCTCTTTGTCGTGCTAATGTCACGGCGAGTGATGGATGAGGCGCGTGCGTCGATGCGAACGCGCGCGAACTCCACTCCTGCACCGAATGGGACCCCCTTCCCCCTCCTCCTCCTCCTGTCCTCCTGTACACACACACACACACACACAGACACACACACACGGACTCGCTCCCAGGACCAGCTGACAAACTTCTGGCCTCCGGTCACCAGGCGACGAGCCACGTGACCCGCCGCAGAGGTAAGAAAAGAAGTGACACGGAAAAGACAGAAAGAGAGAGAGAGAGAGAGAGAGGAGAGTTTGGGAAAAGAGAAAGCAGCGAGTTTTAGAGGAACTAAAAAAAAAAGAGAGAGAGGATGGAGGCCGCCGGACTGTAACCTGCGCGGAGGTGAGGAGGTGGCCGGACTCTGTGTTGTTCTCGCGGTGTTTCCAGCTGGAGCCCGCAGGTCGACCCGCTGACAGCGTAAGGCCTCCGGATCACGCACAGAAACGCACACACACCGCAGCAGAGGACATTATTCATGTGTGTGTTTGCAGCTTCCACTTTGCCTTTTTTCTCTCCACACTGAAAGTTTCTTGTAATTTTTATTCGTCTCTATTTTTTCAGAATGTTTTAATTTTAAAACAATGTTTTGAATATTTTATTTTATTTTAAAGCTTTTTTGTTGTATTTTTTCCTTGTGGTTTATTCTTATATCCAGACAGACTGCTTTTTCCTGGAGACACTTTTAAATGGATTTTTTTCGATTTGTGATTTTTATTTTCTAACTCATTCTTCATCCACGTCCTCCGTGGGCTCGTGTTTCTCAGCCTGTAAGCTTCCCGCAGCCCCACGGTGCCTCTGCATGGACAACATGAACTCCTTTGTGGAATACTCCATCTGCAACCGACCGGGGACCGGTTCTTATTCTGCGCCTAAGTCCGGATACCACCACCACCACCTGCATCACCACCACCTCCCTCTGGATCAGCACCAGGGCTTCCCGGTGGCCTCCGGCGCCTTCCACTCGGGCCTCACCGGCTCGTCTGTGTCCGTTAACGGGACAAGGGCTGACAGCAGCGTCGGGGGAGCCGGTTACACCGCGGATGGAAGGATGTACGGGAGCACCGGGGCGGACGCGGGCAGTGGGAGCGCGCACGGGTCCACGGGAGCCACGCAGCATCACCAGCAACATCCTCCTCATCATCACGACCAGCAGCAGCACCAGCACAACGGCTACCACCATCACCTGAGCCTGCACCAGAACCAGAGCCTGCAGAGCGGGTTACTGTCTCCCTACAGCAGCAGCAGTGGCAGCTCCGGGGCCTACGCGGCTCAGGCCTGCGCCACGAACTCTGACTATGTTCCCGCGGCGGTTCCTCCCAGCTCCGTCCACCAGCAGTATTTCGTGGAGGAGTCTGTGGCCTCCTCCTACTACCATCAATCAACCTTTCCCAGCTCGGCCCCCTCCGTCGGCCCCAGCTACGGGGCCCTCGCCGGGGCCTACTGCGGGCCTCAGGGCGCTCTAGCCGGGTCACAGTATCCGCAGCAGATCGGCGGGGGTCTGGACGCAGCGGGCTACCTGGGGCTGCCACATGGGGGAGGCTACGGGGAGCTGCCGGTGGCCCAGGACCGAGACAGGGAGGATGAGGAGGGCCAGCAGGCCGGGCAGGGCCAGACCTTCGACTGGATGAAGGTGAAGAGGAATCCACCGAAGACAGGTGAGGAGAGCTTTTATTTTATTTATTTTATTTTTATTTTATTTTATTTTATGCTGTTGGGTGGATTTGTGGTTATCAGGAGGTTGGACATGGAGTCCATTAGAACTGATTGATGTTACGTATTTAAATGTGTAGTAGGAGGAAACCCCAGAAGTCAGGCAGAGGTTGAGGCGCGTACATGTGGATCAGTGGCTCCTTTTGCATTCATCATAACGCAGGAGTCACGCTGCAGCCACAGAACTGAGGAGAAGCAGGAGGTTGTTTTAAGGCTCGTTTGTGAACAGCTGAGAGGAAACGCAGCCCGAAGTCTGACCCACAGTGTGACCAATAAGAGGAAATAAATTCATTTGGATCATTAGAAACGGGGCCCAGTCCTCTGCATTAACACGAACCTGTCCAGTGTTCTGGAGGTTCTATTTCTCCTGCAGGCCTCGGCTCCTGTTCAGCCTCTTCTCATGGTAATGCTTCCATCTGAGCTTCCTTCTTCTCTTTTCACTTGTCTTCATCACTCAAGTCTGAATTCGTTTCACTGTGAACCAGAATCACGATCAATACGTGGAAAACACACGGAAAATAACGGGTCTGAAGTGGGTCATCTGTGCGTTTTTAACAGCAGGACGGCGGAGAGACGTTCAGACACAATTCACATATTTTTGTTTTTTAAATGTTTCTTTCTTTTTCTTTCTTCTTTTTAATTTTTTTTTTATTTCACTCTTTCTATTGTGTCGAATCGTCCAGAAAAAAAACAAAACATTTAAACTGTAAATAAAGCCACAGGCTGAACATTTACTAAAGACAGAAACAGGACCTTTTTGTTTTACTGCCGAACCTGATCCAAATGGATTAAAAATAAATTAATAAACAATTAGTCCTAAATAATCTTAATACGAACGTTTGCAGTTTAAAAAATACAATCAGTAGAATAGTGGTGTAGTTACTGATAATGTGCATAAAGAAATATAAGATTAAATAGTTTAATTTTAGTAGAATTAATCACAAGGATGGAAGTTAAACAGCTCAGCTTTCATGCGTAAAAACAATAAATAAATAAATAAATACATAAATAAAGCGGGTTTTTAAAAAAAGTGTTTTTAAGGCCTGGTCCGTGTGCAGCCGTATCTGGAGGCTGATAGCAGGCCTGGCCCGGGTCGGCCCGGCCCGGGTCAGTCACGGCCCCCCGATGTGTCCCTCTCTCGGTCCTAATGAATGGAGCAGACTGGTTACTTCTCCCTGGGAAGTCCTGCTCTGTTATCTTTTAAAGCAACACCCCTCCTCCTCCTCCAGCTTCTCCATCGTTTGTGCACCAGGCTCCTCTTTTATCGCCTCCTTTCTTTTTTTTTCCTTTTTTTTTTTTAGCTTCTTATTTTCGTTCATTTTTTTTCCTGCTTTTGTGAGTCTTCGGTGTGAAGATAAACTCAGTACAGATAAAAACACAAAGCGCACAACCTATAGCTCAGATCTAATAAGGACTGAATTATTTAATGAATAAATGATGGACACCAGATTGCGTAACAGACACTAAAAACCGGACTTTACGTAACAGAACCGGACCGTTTAGTTCTAAAACCAGAAATATATAATTATAAAAATATAATTGAATGAACACACTCTGTGCTCTTCTCTTTCTGTCTGGCCACCCATGTAAACCCTCTAACAGCTTCTCCATCTCCCTCCACCCAGCCAAAGTGTCGGACTTCGGCCTCGCGGGCGCGCACAACAACGCCATGCGCACCAACTTCAGCACGCGGCAGCTGACGGAGCTGGAGAAGGAGTTCCACTTCAGCAAGTACCTGACGAGGGCGCGCCGCGTGGAGATCGCGGCCACGCTGGAGCTGAACGAGACGCAGGTGAAGATCTGGTTCCAGAACCGGCGCATGAAGCAGAAGAAGCGCGAGCGGGAGGGCGCTTCGGCCACCGCGCGCTCCTCCTCCTCCTCCTCCTCCTCCGGTACCGGCGGCAAAGAGCTGGAGGACACCGACCACTCCTCCGCGTCCACGTCTCCAGGCGCGTCCCCGAGCCCGGAGACGTAACCTGGACGGTGGTTGGAGACCTGCAGAGACACTGTTTAGTGCTTTCCTTCTGATGATCCATCTTAAAGGAAGACAGGTTCTGCTCTGGCTACTGGACTCCTACATCTCCCAGAATGCCTTTCACCTTCAGTTGAGCATACAGCTGGAGAAAAGAGCTTCAGTCACACCTAAATCATTTTTTTCCTTTTTCTGACATCACTGCTGCTTCTGTGGGTGTCAGCTGTCTAATCAGAGGACTTTGCTTCAGAGACATGAACTCCAGATGCTGCAGCTGGAGATGACACATGTAGAGAACATTTGGACTCCAGCATCTGCAAAGGTCACATGATGGGAATAGTATCAGGAGGTACAATAGATGTGGGCTGCTCGGTGACATGATGATGATGATGTGGTTCTGCAGAAAATTATCTCAAAGCAAAAACACATTCCTGCAAAAATCTGCTTCAGTGGTTCCCCAACCTGGGGCTCCAGACCCCACACTGGGTCGCAAGATAGCTCTGAGGGGTCGCAAGATGATTAAAAGAATATGCAAGAAAAAATATTCCCGTCACACACATTTAAGGGTCTCGGCTGTTTGAAACAGAACAACCTGAAAAACTCGTTTTCACCCCCGACCCAGAGGTCACCGGGTTCCTGGAGGGTTTGTTTTGCTTTTAAATGAGCTGTTTGTGAGTATTTTTGTTTAAAACATTTTAAAGCTGATGACAACAGGAACCATTTTGATGTCAAGTCAGAGACACCAGTGTGTTGAGCTGCACGTTGACGTCTGGATGTCAGGCAGCCGATCCGACCCGACTCGTCTCATGACACCACTTTGCACCTCAGAACCAATAACAAGTCACTGTAGCGTCAGATCCGTCTTCAGGCTGTCATGAGGAGTTGTTCATAGCAAACCAACCTGCAGGCCTCGTTTGGATCATTTAAATGAGCTTTTATTGGACAATGTGGGTAAATCTCGTTTTGCTTTGGTGGTTTTTCCTCCTCGTATGATCTGAGCTAGACCAGATCTAATGTAAGATCATGAGACAGCAGTAACACTTTCTTGTTTTTGACATAAATTGCTGCTCTTTTAGCCTCATGTGTGCAGAGACGACCTTCAGGAAAGTGAAACCAAAGCACCAAAGAGACGCTGATTTCAGGAACTCTCAACTTTGCTGGATAATAATGATAAAGAGGAAAAACCTGCAGTGACTCGTTGTCTCCTTCTGAGGAGCAGCGTGGTGATTCGTTTTAAAACTAATACCTACTTAAAGCTTCTCTAAGGGGCTGAGTGCAGGTGTGTGATCAGGTGGAGCTCACCAACACACTCACGCTGTTACTCCACCGACTGCTGCAAGAAACTAAAATGTTTAAGAAAAATTCAGGAGTCTTGAAGTTCCCACCGTGTAGCTTCAAGATGTTTAGCATCAAGTGACTCATACAGCGTCTGTTGTGTGATGATGGTGATGATGATGGTGATGGTGATGGTGATGATGATGGTGATGATGGTGATGATGATGATGATGATGGCAGGATGCACTTTGACGTCTTTATACGATGTCTGAACTCTAGATCTGGTTTTGGGGCTCTTCAGGTGGACGGAGCAGATGTCCTGCTGATGGTTTCTCACTTTTTATTCTCACTTTGGAAACAAAGCATGTCTTTGGTGTTTCAGTTCGTACTGACACACCTGAAAGCCTCCATGACTGATGTAAACGGAGACGGGCTGGTGTCTGAGCACAAACGGGCCTTCTATCAGGACTCTGACGGCACAAACACACTCTGTGATCGTTCCACTGTGAAACTGTATGATTTATATTTGTGTTTTATTTCTTGTTGCTCTGTGTTTCCTCCCAGCTCCGGCCTTTGCACTACGGGACGACAACATTTTACTAGAATATTCTGCTTCCTCAGGTTTTACGACTCGTGAGTCCGTTTGCGGTCCGAGTTACGGCGTCGCGTGTCAGACGTGTCCGTTAGACTCAGGTTAAGGTGGAGTGAGGAGGAGGTGTGTTTTACTGCCCTTGAGAGTAAATTATTGGATGCATTTTATGTTATTGATTATAGATGATGTGAATGAGGTGATGTCCTCCGTGGCTGAAGGCCACAAACCGGATCAGATTACTGGATGTGAATGTTTTTACTGTGCAGATAGATCCAGTAGTAGTTAAAAAAACAAAAGAGCGTTGTGAGAATATAATTTAGGAGTAAACGTCTTCATGTGTGTGATGTTATTGGTTTAACGCCGGCCTCTGCTGTTGTTTCTATTTTTACTGTAATGTGTTGTTTTTAAATGAGAGCAGACCGACTGAGTTTTATTAGTTCTGCTGCCTTAAAGACGCCCAATCATGTTCCTGTCTGTCTTTTTTCTACTTGGAGCTACCTCAATTAAATATTCTCCTGTCAATCCACTGAAGACGTGATTCTTGTTGCTGTAGTTTATGAAGCGCTGATCGATTCCTGAGCTACGGTGTGATTTCAGCGCCCCGTCGAGCCCAAACATCGTTACTTCTGCAATATTAGAGATAATTAGATCCCCAAAAAACCAAAGGCGAGATTCCCAGCTGAGCAGATTCTGAGGATACAGGCTTATTGTCCAATGATTTGTGGTTATTTAATTAATTCTAAACTTGTGGGCTCGTTTTTAGATGATGAGGTGAGTGAGTCCTGATCCGGTCCGTCTGTTGGGACCGAGGTCCCGAGCTTCCCTCGTTATCTGAGGATTGTGCTTTAGCGTAGCACGTTCTTAAATTAATTTAGGTTTAATTTGCCTCATAACGAAGCTGAGGGCAGCTGCTAGGCTTTGGTCTGGCCTCCCTCAGCAGGTTAATCTGGTCATTAGAGAAGAGAGGAGGTGAATGTGCACGAGGCTCCAGCAGAGGACGGGCTGCTGGCTTCTGCAGGTTTCTGAACCCATCAGCTGCTGCTCTGTAAAACTCAGCCCTTTCTGCTGCCACCAGTAAAGATGGATGCCGACGACTGAGAGCTGCTTCTTGGAGGACTCTCTCTGGGCCCCTCCACTGCTCTTTCCTTCCTGAAGTTTGCCAGAGAAGCTGAATTGATCTCACTAACAAACAAATGCTGTTTGTGTATCTACAGCCTGACGGATGCTCCTGTTCGAGCTCTATTGTCGAAAATCGTGTCCCGTTAGCATAAATTATTTTGGCTCAGTCCCACGTAATCCATCCTGCTACTCAAAAGTCGGCACCAGATGTGATTTAAAGCACCACTGGAATCATTTCCCCAACAAACGCACAACTTGAAGCTAACTGAGGGAGAAGCTGAGCTGCTTTTATAAATGGAAGCTACATATTCATGAGCTGTTTTTACAGATTTCTGTTTCCCAGAGCGTCAGGAAGTGAACGAATCATGTCAATGAAATGTTTGACTCCCCCAGAACACAGTGTTTGACGCCACACGGCACGCAGAGAGCTTCATGCATCTGAATGGCGGCCGGGCCTCTCACATTCACGGGGCTGCGTGGCCTCTGGTTGACCCACGCACATACAGCAGGCCTGCCGTGAGGAATGTAACGCGGCTTTCCGGGTGGCTCGCCAACCTGTTGACCTTTGGAGAGCCTCTGGGATATCTAAACATGTAAACACACTCCTCCTCCTCTTCCTCCTCCTCCTCCGGCTCATCTTCATCCCCTTCTCCTCTGTGCTGGTCCAGAGACGCCTCCCGTCCTGGAGTCCTGGGTGGCGAGCTCAGTCATCACCTCATCAGGCTCACAGTGGACTCAGGCCTCCCTCAGATCCTCCTCCACGCTCACACCTCATCCCGTCCGGCTGCTTTCTTCTCTGACCGACTCCTGTGACTTCCTGCTCAGGTCCTCTTTCCTAAAGCAGAAGTGTTAGACGTGAAAGTCTGTTTCCAGGTGTTGGGGAGTCGTGTGACACATCTGGAGAAAAACAAGTCGTGTGAAGCCTTTTGTATCAGCAGACGGACTCGTGTGAAGTCTGATAAACGTCCTCCAGTGACACCGTACGGATCCAGACTGGTTGGGGGGACGTGATGGTTGATAGGACTGACGCCAGATATTAGAAAATAAAACACAGAAGGCAGATTTTTTTGGCCTCTATTTGTTTTAGGTACAAAAACAACTGAATTAGCATCAGGGAAAGGTCGGGGTGGTTCTGGTTTTAATGTCGGGTTGTACGAGGTGCTTACCTTCAGTCTGTGTTCTACCTGCACACCCCGGTTTGGAGAAGCAACGATTAGTACCAACATGGAAGCCAAGCTGTGGATGGCTTTGGATGGAGCCAACAGGAAGATGTATTTTTGCCACCAAAACCAAAATCTACTCCTGATCTGTATCAACAGACACTTGAACCACTTAAGCAGCCTTTAGGATGGACGGCTGAACCGAAGCAGAGGTGTGCTGACTGGGGGCCGACCACCGTCTCCTCCAGGTAGAATACTGACCATCAATAAACACCTCAGTCAATCCCACCTCAGAAAAAATTATCTAAACAAAGCCTTTAAAGTCCAATGCTCTGTCAACCCGTCCATCCAGCCCGACCTCCTCCCTGTGTTTGTTCTGGTTTTACACCTACATCCCTTCACTTCTGCTCTTGCCTTCCCCATAGCTAAAACAGCCACTACATGTTGAAACCAAAATCAGAACTAACCCTTTGGCTTTATCAACCCGTCCATCCAGCCCGACCTCCTCCTGTGTGGATTTACTGGTCTGAGAAGAACATCACTGTGGTTATGAGTTGCTTCTAGAAACAGCCGACATCGTCCTTTTTCAACAGGAGGTCTCGGCTGAAGTCAGAGAGGAAGAACCTCCAGTGAGATCCTTAAAGTCGAGACTTCTTCGATGTCACTTGTTCAGTTTGGGGCTTCTGATACGTGTGCTGATGGTTATACTGGAAATGATTGTTTCCTTATGATCTGAAGGCTTATAGACGGCGTCTGTTGTGTCAGACTGAACTGACTGAAAGACAGTTTTACAAACTCTCAGGGAAGGTGTAACAAGATCTGGTATGTTTGACTGGTTTCAGTTTCATCTGCAGATC